TATGATCGATTTTAGATATCTAAATTGTTTACTTGTTGATATTTCTTGATTTTTAATCTTAACTTTTTCACTATGTCTACTTATTTTATTATTAAAACTGCATTACATATATTCAAATTTATTCCTACTTATTTTAAACTCATTCGACTCGAGTGTCTCTCTCCAAATTTTTAACTTATTGTTAATCATTCTTCGACTTTCATCTACTAATACAATATCATCTGCAAATAGTATACACTGTGGGACATCATATTAAATGTGCCTAGTGAATTCATTCATAATTAGGTCGAATAGGTATGAACTTAGTGTCGATCCTTGATGTAATCCCACTGTGATTAAAAATTCTTTACTTTCTCCCACGGAATACCTAATTGTAGTCATTGTCTCGTCATACATGTCATTTATCACCTCAATATACCTATTTGTCACTCTTTTTCTCTCAACCACCTTTCATCTTATATTTCTAGGTACTTTATTATACATCTTTTCTAGATCTATAAATACCATATGAAGATTTTGTTTCTTCTCTCTATACTTTTTTATTAGTGTCCTCAATAAATATATAGCTTCCATAGTTGATCTACAGGCATAAACCCAAACTAATTTTTCGACACTGTAGTCTTAACTCTTAGGCGGCGGTCAATGACCCTTTCATATAATTTCATTGTATGACCCATCAATTTTATCCCTCTATAATAATTACAATTTTTAGTATCTCCTTTATTTTTATAGATAGGTATTAAAATACTCTTTCTCCATTCATCTGGCATTTTCGTAGTAGCAATCATTCTATTGAATAATTTTGTTAACCACGACCACCCCTCATTCCCTAAGCACTTCCAAACCTCAATTGGAATCTCGTCTATTCCTAAAGTCTTGTCTAATTTCATTTTCTTCAATGCAAACTCTACCTTCAAATTCTTTATTCTACAAAAGAAAGTTTCATGGATCCTACCATTTCTACCTCTTTTAGGTTTCCTAAGTGATTTTCGTTTAATAGTTTCTGAAAATAGTCTTTCCACAGATCATTTATTTATTCATCTTTAACTAAAACCTTTGAGTCATCGCCCTTGATGCACTTAACTTGGTTAGTCTCTTTTTTTCCTTTCTTTAATTTTAGCTAGTTTGTAAATGTCTTTTTCTCCCTCTTTACTATCTAACTTTTTGTATAACTTGTCGTAAGCTTTTAACTTAGCGTCTCTAACTATCTTTTTAACCTCCTTGTTAGCTAATTTATATCTTTGGAAGTTCTCTCTATTTCTATCATTTTACTATCTCTTAAAGGATTGTTTCTTTGCTTTAACTACCTCTTGTACATCTTCATTCCACTACTAAGTTTCTTTTCTCACAAGTCCTCTACCATTTGACTCCCTAAGAACCTCTCTCGAATTTTTTCTAATGTCTTACGTCATCCTACTCCACATACGTTAGTCACATCCTCTAGGTTCCATATGGCCTCTTTAAGCATTCTACTCTTAAATAGTGTTAATTTCTCATCTTTTAGATTCCACCATCTCGTTTTTTTTTTAATGCTTCTCCTTACTCTATGTTGCCCTTTAATATATAAATCTAAGATTGTTAGCCTATGTTGATTCTTAAGTTTTCTCCTGGGATGATCTTACAACCATTACTTGCTAATCGGTTTGTTCTTCTACTTAAGAAGTAGTCTATTTGGCTTTTGTTTGGTCCACTCTTAAAGGTTATTAGATGTTATTTTCTTTTTCTAAACAGTGTGTTTGCCACTACAAGGTCATATGTGCTTTATCGTTTTCCCTAATCTCTAACTCTCAAACCCGAATTGTGTATATATGGATTATAGAAATTGGTGAGTGTCACTCTCTCTCGAGTTCGATTCAAGAAATGAGAAAAATCGTGTGTGGATGAACAAAAACGTGTGAATGTGTGCAAAAATGCTCCCCAACTGTAGAGAGACTTGCAGTGTCGTGTTTTACTTGGAATGAGTATTCTAAGGTTGTCTCCTCAGAGAATGAAATGTCAAATGCTTTTAAAGGGTGATTTGTGAAAGAAATAAAAATTAGAAAATCTTGTAATTTGTCTTTTGGTGAGTTGTGTTTTGAGAAATATGCAAGAAAGCAAGATTGACTAATCCATAGAGGTTATTCCAATGAGAATGCCAAATCGACTCAATTCATTCAACCAATGGTGTCTCGGTGTTTGATTGATTCGTAGGAAGTGAGAGACTAATGTGATTGTGTTGGACAAATACCCCGTGACAAGCCTATGGTGTATCAAGAGTCCACAACTACGTCCGCACTCAACCTAGTCAAACCAAATACTTTACACTACGAGAAAGAATGAAAGAGAGTCAATCTCACATACTCAAGAAGAAATTTCCCTTGGATTAGCCAACTAAAAGTTTAGCTAAAGAAACATGATAGTGAAATGAAACATGAAACTTGTATTGATGCAAGAAAAAATTACAAGAGCAAAGTCATTCATACCCAATATAAAAAGCTTGAAGAGGAAATACCCAAATGTAAAAATGAAAATATATTATGTTTAGGTATAAAATTCAAATGAAAATCAAAACTGTTTTACCTAAATACATTCCCTTAAATTATGCATTCCTGATTGACACATATATATCTAATCTAATATGTAAAGATTTCATTAAACTCTCTCACTATCTCTCTCATATTTTCTCTCCATCTCTCTCTCTTTCCCCATCTTTCCCCTATTTTCTCTCTATATCTATCATTAATAATTTATTTTCTTTTCAAATATATAAATATTTGATTTATTTTTTTATGTCTCTCTCCCTCTTTCTCTCTCTCTCTCTCTCTCTTATTTTCTAAAATCATTTCTCTTTCTATTTATATCAACATTACAACAATACAATTACACTAATTAGTTACACCAATCATTTACAATTGTCTTATAATATATCAAACAATTACTCATACATTCTAATAAAACCAAACAGTTACACCAGACAATAACACAAATTTATAACACCAACTCAATTTATCATTCAGTTGTTTATATAAACTAAATAATTGCACTATTTAAAATAGCGACATCGTTACACCAATCATATATATCAAATTTAGTATAATGGTAAAGTCTTTTGTATAATGATAAACCAAATTTTGTGTATATAATTGGTGTAATCATATTGTGATACTAAATGGTGTAACTCTTTAATTTATGTAAATAACAAAATGACAAATTGGATTAGTATTGTAATTTCGTTTAATTGTTTAGTGTAACTGTTTGATTTATTATAACACATGAGTAATTGTTTAGTGTATTATAGGGTACTTGTAACTAATTGGTGTAATTGATTAATGTAATTGTGTTGTGTAACATTGATATAAGAAGAGAATAAGGAACTAGGGGAGAGAGAGTGAGAGAGAGATAAAAAAATTAAATCAAATCTTTACATAATTAAAAAAAATTATCAATATAAGAGAAAGAGAGTGAGAGAAATAGATAGAGAAAAAATAGAGAAATAGAGAAGAGAGGGTGTCAGAGTAATGGAGAGAGAGAAAGAGAGAGTAATTGAGTAATAAATTTTCTTTGTCTTTTTTCAAAAAAAATGCACTTATGGCCAAATAAGTTTCCTTAATGTAGTTTAGCTTAAATAAATCTATATTTTTGTACCAGTTTCTAAATTACCCATAATTTTATTTGAGTTTAATTTTTTAGTTTGGATCATACTAAACACTTATAAAAAAAAATGGGGCTTTTATTTTAGATGGTGCCTATAACGATTTCTTCTTCGGTCTAGTTATTGGACGGGCCTGTAAGTCAATATTGATAATTTTAGTAAAAATTCTATCTACAAAGCATAATCGTATAGAAAACCAATGCCATCACAAAATCCATCCTCCACTAGATCTTCTTTATGTAAGTGTGACTAGTAAGGATCAAAATTTTGTTTTGATAATAGTACATAGCTTTCAAATAACTTTAAAACGCAAAATATTTCAAGAATTGAATGGAAACAAAAGAAAAATTATACTTTTGACTCCAAAACATCTCGAATTAGTTTCACACATTCCAAAACATAAGAATTTTGACTTTCTACCAACGCTTTGCCTCTGTTTTCACGAATTATTTCTGTCGCTTCGGTGGAAACAACATGAAATTTCGAGCCCTTCAAGCAACGCTTTCTTCTAACTTTCATTTAAGAATTCTTGTTTAGACAGTTCATACTATCTGTACATATGAGGAATCAATGAAATCGAAAGGACGTCAATTAAAATCCTAAACTTCTGCACTGGACAGATGTAGTTGTTTCACTTCCACGCAGTTGACATTTTTATGGTCACAGTAAATCATAAGATAACTCATCCCAAAAAGAAGCCCAACAATTAGACTTTCCCATAGTACTAGTCATACCCGTAAGACTCTGTTCAACATTTCAACTCAACAAAATCTCGTCCCAACAAGTTGGGATCAACTATATAAATCCTATTTCGTAATTGGTTTTTTTGTCATTTCTAAGCAGCAAGCAGAGGAAGAACCGGAGGGGGAAGGTTTGCACCTTGAAAAACTGGTTCTGTAATTTGAATCACTTTCTTTAATTAAAATTTGCTTGGGAGCATCCAACTGTTTTCAGGATTCCCACAGTCCTCTACAATATTGATACATAAAAAAGAATGTTGTCAAAACCAAAATTTAAGTTCACCGATTTTGAAGAGCCTCGATCGCCTTTTTCCACTGCAACGCTCTCTGTTTCGCATCCTCGAATGATAAAACCTTTTTTGGCTGTACCATTGCAAACAGATAAATATACAAGTAAATTCGATAAAACATGTGAATAGTTAATGCAATGGAAGTGCCAGAAAATTTCTTGTTCCTTTTCCTACAGCCATTCTAATCAGGGGCAGACCACGAATTTAACTCAGGGTGGACCCTTAATTACATGCTGAATNAAATCTAAATCTTTTTCTATATCAGAAAATTGTAGGCACAAGCTAAGATAATGGGCAATAGAATTTAAAAAATAAAGATACAGACATGCATATCATATTTCAAAGAATATTGAAGCTAATAAAGGCAGTTAAGATATTGCTTACCAATAGCCTATCAATGAGATCTCTAGCTGATTCTGAGAAATAGTTTGGAAATCTAATATCTCTGGCAATGATTCTTTGGAAAATGAGCCATTCACTTGCATCTTTAAAGGGTGAAGTTCCTGAAAGCATCTGATACAAGGTGCAGCCAAGTGCCCAGAGGTCATTTCTGTTAGAATTCATTCAAGAGAAGTGAATAAATCATACTACAAAGATGATACATGATAAAAAACAAGTACAATGGTAGGAACCAATTATTACCAAAAGATACATAAAAAATTCGCTCACCCAAAAGTTGCGGGAGAAGAATTTAAGACTTCTGGAGGGACATAAGCAGCTGTCCCCACAAAGGTACAAGCCTTATCATCTGAAGACATAATCCCAATGATTTAGCACATAATCATAGCAAATTATTTATCTGTGTGGGTGTAGGTGTACATTACATAAAGTAAGCATGCCATCAATATGTCTCATTATGGTCTGACATATTTACCTGATGCTGCGTTCGGAAGGACTGTTATCCGGCTATCCTGCATAGGCTTCACGCTACCGAAGTCAGCAATTTTAATATGCCCTTCAGCATTAAGCAGCAGGTTCTCTGGCTGTAGTTCAAGAAAATGTCAGCATTTTTCATATGATGAGACGCTGCATTCATGCGGTGAAATACCTTAATATCCCGATGTATCAATCCCATATTATGTATGTATTCAAGAGCATCTACAACTTCAGCAGCATAAAAGCGAGCTTCGTCCTCTAACAAACGTCCTTTCTGCACCCACAGAAATTCACCGGAAATTAGACATCATATGACAAGTTGGCGGAAGAAGCTGAATGACAAACTTGCAGTTCAGGAAAAAAAATTGACACCTAGAAAATAAAATAGAGCTGGAATATAAGTTGGCAAGAATCTCAAATACAACTGGAAATATTCAAAGATGTCTGTGTTGACTATAAGCTAAATTGCAGTGAATTTAGAATCTGCACTCTATGCAAATTTATTCGGAAAAATTCAAGTGACTAAGAAAAATAATCAATAAATCACCATTGTAGACAAACAATTTGGAGGCTTTCCAATGATATACAAAGAAACCAGGCTCGAAGAATTTTTAAATTTCCTTACCCTGGTTATTTGATCAAAAAGTTCTCCACCTTCACAGGATTCAAGCGCCATGTCTTCACAACATAATCAAAACGCACTCATGTCAAATCATAATCCAAAACCCAAATTCTCCAAAAAAAGGACAAACATAGTGAGTGAAGGAAAAAACCAGATTATCCTACAAAAATCTGGATTATTAAATCCCTAAACAGACCGCAACCAACAATACTTACACAGGGAAAAACTATCCTGAAATGTAAAGTACAGCCGCACAACGCCAGGATGATCCAACTGATCGAGCACAATACGCTCTAACTTCACATAAGCAATTTTATTTTCTTTGGTAATGAACTTTTTGTCCATAATCTTCAAGGCATACACAATTCCAGTGTCTTTCTTCTTTGCTCTGACAACCTAGAGCCACCATACGTGAAACATTAAGTGAATGTCAATAAGAAGAGTATAATGACATGTCACATGCATACTTTAAGAAGCAAACTAAGGGCACCAGAAATGATAGAAAGGCAAAAGGTCCATTAATCTATCATATTACAATTGCAACAATTCAAACAAGGAGGTCTTCAACAAACAATATTAATATTGTTGAAAGGAATAAAAAACACAGAAAGCAGAGATGAATAAAGGTAAAACTCTGAAGTATCTGCTAGATAAAATGGCATATTTTACTTTCACATCCCAATAAGATTGTGTGCGATGCAAGGTATTAATGAAATATTCATGATATGTACGCCGCAACTTCCAATGAATACATGCTGGAACCAAGACAACATGAACAAAAAAATTTGGTTCAATAAATTTATTGTTCAATCATATCAGATAGCACTAGGGACTTCCCCCAAAACATCCAACAGAAACTGAAGCAAGTCTATCATCAAATTTTTTAAGTTCACCATCAAATGGAACACCAGAACCAGATACTTCCAAATCAAACAATTGCATCACATAGAAAAAGCAATGTTTCACTGAAAAACAATCTCCTCCATTTCCCATCCAATCAGAGCAAGGACAACATATCAAACAACACAACAGGGGATCCTTCCTGTCAAGTTAGAGCATCTCCAATAATGCTCATCTTTGATGAAAAGTTAAAATAAAGCATGAAATTTTTTTAACAAATCTAATTCTAATAGAACAATCTATTTTAGCTAGTTCAAATTAAGAGTCTATTGGAGATGAAATTTTAGGAATTGACTCTCAAAAATAGAGAATTGAGTGGGAATAGTGAGTCAATTGAAGATGCTCTTACTTCCCAATCTTAAGCCTTGCAATGCTGTTAAAGTTATGCACCAGGATAATTTTTGGCAATCAAGTCTTTCAGCATCTGATGCAATTTCAGCCAGAATGTACGACTTTACAGCTTAGAAACTCCCCAAATTTCAACAAGCTACATGATACCTCTACTAACGAACCTCCATGCCATGTACACATGTCAAAGAGATTGGTAGTTCATTCAAGCTTGTATTCAGTAAGTATTACAGAGATTTTTCACAGATTATATGCAGAAGATTTAACAGTTGTTTTAGGAAATTCCAAATTACAAGCTCATATCCTTNTTCACAGATTATATGCAGAAGATTTAACAGTTGTTTTAGGAAATTCCAAATTACAAGCTCATATCCTTCCAAAACAATTCATCCCCCCCACCCCCAAAAAAAAAAAACAAACAAAATCACACATATTTTCTGCTGGAGGTAAGAACTATTGTAGTTATCTACCATTTTGCCGCATAACGGATGAAACGAATTGATATTTATGATTTACGAACCAATTCCTAAATAAGATGTCATCGAATACTAATAAGACTCAAAACAAACGTACAAGAGAAGAAATTAAGAAGATACAAATGAGGATGACACAGGAGATTCAACCATAATAATAACCAAATATGCACTACCCACTAGTCTACCATTAACATACATCAAACTGACAACATGAAACACAAGAAAGAAGCAAAATTAATATAGCCAAGACAATGGAACAGGCCAAAACAGATTGAAAATAAGTGAAAAAAGACCAACCTTGGAATAAGAACCGACTCCGTAGATCTTGCCCAATTCAAAGTCTTGTATGGTGAAACTCTCTTGTGGTGCCCTAAATGCAAAGCTCTTAGATCTCTGTGCAAAATTCCCACCACCACCACCATGAGATGAATTATTGTCCTGAATCCTAAGCTTTGAATCAAAATCCTTCTCCATATTAATATTTGTGGCTGCTGCTCCTCCCCCAACCAATGCCAACATTTCTCTCTCTAGAATTCCCTATAAAATGGCAAACACTTTCACATAAAAACATATGTAAGCCAATAGGGATGTTATAACTCTCTCTTTCTCTCTCTAAAAACAGCGCTTTGTCTCTCTAGAAATCTTGGAACAAGAGTTGGACCGTTGAACAGCAGCGCAATAGCAGTACTAGATCCAACCCATCTCGCATCTGATTTGATTCTATTCATATATTCTCTTTCATCGAACCAAACTGATAAAGCCCACCATTTCAAACCACCCAAAAAGCAAATGATTCCTTATACACAGCAATTCTCTCTCTCACTNCAAACTGATAAAGCCCACCATTTCAAACCACCCAAAAAGCAAATGATTCCTTATACACAGCAATTCTCTCTCTCACTCTCTCTCTCTCTGTGTATGTGCGTATATATATGGATATCTCTGCAAAGTTCTCAGCTTTATTTTCTCATAAACCTAGAAAGCTAAACAGAAGGTGAATGAAAATATGGGGATGGAAGAGCACATGGGAATGAATGATGGGTATCATTCATTTTCATTTCATTTCATTCATTCACCATCCAATATTTTCTTGTTTTCTCTCTCTAAAAATCACTTTCTCCCTCTACATAGGTCCTAAAAAGTAGGGGAAATAGGAAGGTAATGCTGTCTATGATTGGGGGCTACGGCAACCCTCCCGTCCAAAATTGGCCTCACTCACCTGCTTCCATTGTTCCAATCGTAACTGTAAAAAAAAAAAAATAGAGAAAATTACAAAACTTTGGTGCCCAAAAGAAAAAAGAGAAAATAAAGGGTTCCTCGTTGTAAATATTTTTCACACTGTCCGGATCCGGAGTGTATAAAAGAGTGGTTTAGCGTTTTATTAGTGAACACGTGGCAGTATGTGGGAAGGTTTTGTGTTTTCGAAGGTTGAAATTTGAAAGAGCCGAGATAAATTAGGTCCGATATTAGGTGTCTAAATTAAGTCCATATACTATTTTCTAATTCGAGAGAGGCTTACGGTTTTCGATTATGTCAAATTAATCCAAAAAATAAAAATAAAAATAAAAAACAAAATAATGTGATATTGATATGGTAATTGGTAAGTAAATTTTTAATTTTAAATAAATAAATATGGAATAAAAAATATTATCACATCATTTAATCCTTATTTTTTATTATCAATTTAACATTTTTCTATGCTTTTCATCATTTTAAAATTTATTTTTGGGATTCTATATGTGGTTTTCTTTTACCCCAAACATACTAGATATCCATATATTTCAAAATATATAATGTTCCATTTAAATGACATAGTATTGAATATCATTTCCATTAAAATTGTGAAAATATTTATTAAAATTTAGAATTGATTTGTTGATCTAATAATGTGATTTCATTGTAAGACCATCCCCAATAAAAATTAAAACTATTATGCTCTGTTTGGTAGAAAAATGAAAAATAGGAGAAATACACTTTCTATCCTCCAAAGAAATAAAGTAGAAATAATACATTTTATTTCCTTTGTGTTTGGTTAAATTGATGGAAAATAAAAATAATTAATTTTTTTTGTACTTGGTAAGATAGAAAAAATATTTTTTAAAATTTTTAATTTATCATTGTATTTATATATGAAATTAATGTATACATAATATATATATATATATATATATATATATATAT